GGTATTCGAATGCTTTTGAAAAGCTAAAACCTGATCCACAAATATCACAAATTTTGGAGGAGTATAAATTGCGCATTCAACTGGATAAAAGGCTCAATTCCGAAGAAAAAAATCTCTGTCTCGAGTTTTTAAATTTAGCATTTAATGAAGCGATTAAATCTATTTCTATGGAGAGTGTATTAAAAGTTCTGAATGAATTGGACAAGCAATTTGAAAGTATGACAATGCAAGAGATTGAATTAGTTATTCAGCAATATAAATTTAAACTCAATTCTCGAGAAATAGAACTTTGCCTTGGATTTTATGAATACAATAAAAAAGCTATTGAATACAACAAAAAATTATGTCCCAGATGTAATAGTAGTGTGTTTTATGGTACGTACTTTAATTACTTTTTTCTAATTATAATTTCCACATTAGTGAATTGCCAATTACATGATTTGGGAATGCTGATTTTAATTCACATGATAAGTATGGCAATTTACTGGGAATATCGATACGTATACTTAAATGATTTGTAATAAAAATTCTTATTTTTATGAGTAGTTGATGAAATTGGCAACGAAAATTGTGCGTGCCTACAAAATGACTTGGCCAATGTTCTCAAAAGAAATACTGGTAATGAACTTCTTGATACTCTTATTATGAGATGTCAAATTAATCAAGCCAACAGATCGACAAAGAATATAATTGAATGGGTACCTTATGAAAATTTCGACAATATTGAACTCATATCGGATGGTAAATATGGAGCCATATATTTCGCAACTTGGTTAGATGGACCGATTATCAACTGGGATAGAGACCAAAAATTTATGAGAGTTGGTCCCAGAAAGATTGCTTTGAAATTATTGAAGAAGTCAGATGATCCAAGCGAAGAATTTTTAGAAGAGGTATGAAAGTTCGATATTTTAATTATTAATTTAACATATTAATAATTCCATTATTGAATTTCATTTAATTGATTAGGCATTGTCACATATTTTGTTTTCATCTCAAGGATCACTTGGAGTTCAATGTTATGGTCTAACGAAATTCCCAAATACGGGAGAGTATATGTTGATTTTAGAATATATGGAGAACGGAGATCTTGGCACCTTTATGAAATCTGAAGAGAATCTATCTACCTGGGAAGATATATTTTCTTTACTTAAGGATATATTTTATCAACTTGCTCAAATTCACAATAATAAAATGATGCATAAAGATCTTCACCCTGGTAACATCTTATCTAATTCCAAACAGTGGTTTATTAGCGACTTTGGATTTAGCAGACCTTCTAACAAAAATGTATACAATGAAATATATGGTGTCCTACCCTATATTTCTTCAGAAGTGCTATATAATAAAAAATATTCATCAGCATCAGACATATATAGTATGGGAATTATAATGTGGCAACTCATAACTAGATGCAGGCATTTGGTAAATATATTGAATACAATGATATTTTCCTTGCCAGAGAGATTTGTAATGGAATGCGCCCACCAATGATTAAAGGAATTCCATATGGGTACCAAGAAATTATGAGAAGATGTTGGGATGCCGATCCTTTAAAAAGGCCAAATGCGCAAGGAATTTTTCATTATTTTGATACAAAGCTCAAAAAATTACTTTCTGAAGAATACACAATTCCAAAATTAAAAACACCTAGAAATTTGCAAACACATAAGCCAAGTTCAAGCATCATTTATTATTTTGGTGATTTATCTAAACCTAGGAATGAAAAAAATCATGGTAATTTTGAATATAAACATTCTTCTATTACATTATTCCATCATCTGAAATTCGAATTAATCATTAATGCATTTAAATAGAAATTGTCAAATACAGTGAGATGTGTGATGGTCTACTAATGATATTGCCCACACAAATGGATGATTCACAAACTTTAGAATCGGAGAATTATAAAGGTAGTTTTTTTTTCAAATATCGTAAAATCAGAGAGATGGATGTTAATTTACTAATAATATTGTCTACACAAATGAATGATGATTCACAAATTTTAGAATCAGTGAATAATGAAGGTATTTCTTCTTTTCAAAAATATAGTGAAATCAGAGAGATAGACGATAATTTACTAATACTGTAATACTGTTCACACAAATGAACGATAATTCAAGACTTAGAATTGAAAACTAATAAAGGTAATTTTTGTTTAAAATATTGTGAAATACAGGGAGATTTAGTATAATTACTTTTCAAACTTTAGCATTTAGTACATAAGAACGTAGCTACAGTATAAAAATCAAATAGAAATTATATTTCGAATTTCCTATTTTAGACTTAAGTTTTAGTTTAAAAGGTATATACTTGAGTTAGTAAAAGCTGCCTGATAAATATCTCTAGCAAATTTTTACTAGATCCCAACCAGTGTATAGTAAAAATCCGGATTATCCGATTTTTTTCAGCTGTGAGCTGAAACCCTATTTAAAACACTGATCAAACATTATTTCTTTAAAGCCCTCGACAATCCTACACTAATACACAATTTATTTATCTAGAATTTACAGGATCAGTGCCAGCTTTCGATGATGATTTGCATCTTTTAGATTCTAATATTGGTAGAAATTTTTATTCTTGTTATAATGATAAAACATTTACCTCTGTTCATGTTATTGATTAGTAATTTTGTAATAACATAGCATTAGAAGATGCGACTGTAATTCGAAATCGCGGAGTAGTACAGCAATCATTGAAAAATTGTGAAGATTCACTTGAATATTTAAATAGTGCACTTGATATTAATCCAACAGACGAATTAACTCTATATTATCGGGAAGGGCATATGCTCGACTAGGCCGTTACGAAGAATCAATTGCAGATTTTGATAAAGTAATGAGCATCAATCCAGCATTCACAGAGGGCTTAAAGGCCAGAGCGTGTATTAATCTTATTCTTGGAAATTTTGAGGAGGTCCTTCCCGATTTAAATAGGGTAATAAAGCTTGTATTAAATAAACAAGATACAGCATTTTGTATTCGCGGAATTACTAACGCTCTATTAGGTCGATATAAAGAATCACTTGAAGATTTCAATATAGTTCTTAAATACTCTCCTGAAGATAAAATCGGATTGAAATGTCGTGCACGCATATATCTAGAGTTAGACCATAATGAGCAAGCACTTGATGACATTAATAATGTATTGAAGAAAGATTCTAATGATATAGACGTATTGAGTGCCTGTGGTTGCATTCATTATTTAGTGAATAATTACGAGAAAGCATTGGAAAATTTTAATAAGGTATTGGAAATCAGACCCAACCATGTATCTGGCTTGAAGTGCCGTGCACAAATATATGCCAAACTTAATCATAATGAACAAGCACTTGAAGATCTAAATAAAGGATTGAAGGTTAATCCTGACGATGCAGAAGCACTTGAAGCTCGTAGAAAAATCCTGCATTTAACAAATAATTATACAAAGGTATCAAAAGGCCTAAACAAATCAGAATATGAAAGAAATAAGTTTTCTACATTCTTGCTTCATACTAAATCTTATTTAAATTTTGACCGATATAAAGACGAAATGGTGGATTTAATACTAGTTAAACAATTAATTTTTCGTACTTCTAATTTGTCAGATAAATTTTTTTCTTCAGGACTTAATCAATTTCGCTCGGGTCACTATAAAGAATCAATTGCAGATTTCAATAAATCCTTAGAAGCAGATCCAAACTACGTAGAATGTTTAAAAGATCGTGCAAATGCTTATATTTTACTTGGAAATTCTGTAATGGCGCTACCAGATTTGAATTCTTTATTGGTACTCTACGAAGAAGTACTAGATTTTAGTAAAGAATTAAGCATTAATTCATCATATATAGATTGTTTAAAAGTTCGTGCAGATACTTTTATTAATCTAAAAGATTACAAAATGGCGCTATCAGATTTAAATAAAATATTGGGATTTGTGCCAAATTTGCATGATCCGGTAGTATGGTCAATGCGTGGACTATCTAATAGAATGCTTGGCAACTATGAAGAATCAATAGAAGACTATAGCAAATTATTAGAAATCGAACCCGATCATGCATCTGGTTTGAAATGTCGCGCATTAATTTATGTAGAATTAGGTCACCATAAACAGGCGCTTGAAGATCTTAATAAAGTACTAAAAGCAAATCCTAATGATACAGAAGCGCTTCAAACGCGTAAAACCATTCATTTTTTAATGAATAAATATGAAAATGCTTTAGCTGATGTTAATATTTTATTGAAATTAAAAAAGGATGATATATCAGTGCTTATATTTCGTGCAAATTTGTATATCGAACTTGATCAGCATGAAAATACTATTGTAGATTTAAACAAAGTTTTAGTCTCTGAACCAAATAATTTAAAAGCTTTAAACCTTAATGGAATAGTTAATATTTATATGAAAAAATATGAAGATGCTCTTAAATCATATAAGAAATTATCAGAAATCGATTTAAATGATTTTGTTGCTCCAGCAACTTGTGGATGGATTTATCAAAAGATTCACAAATACAATGAGTCGCTAGAATATTTAGATAAATCATTAAGAATTAAACCAAATTTTACATTTGGGTTAAAAAATCGCAGATATACCCATATCGTCATGAACAATTATGAAAAAGCCATCAAAGATTTCAGCAAAGTATTAGAATTGGAACAAGATTGTGACTTCTCTTTGAAACATCGTGGAGATGCCTTTTTCTCGATGAAAAGATATGAAGATGCGCTTAAAGACTTTAGTCATCTATTAAACCTTTGTCCTAATGATGCATTCGCACTGAGGCTCCGTGCAGAGATTTATCTTTTTTTAGCTAGACTTGATGAAGCACTTGTTGATCTTAATAAATCTCTACATATAAATCCAAATGATGTCATTGCCTTACGTTTTCGTGGATTAATTTATGCTATTCATAATAACCATGAAAAATTATATGAAGATTTCAATAAATCCCTAGAAATTGAACCAGAAAATGAATATGTAAAAACGATGAGTGCAAAAACTGCTTTTACTACAGGAAAACGATCGCTTTCAGACTCACTTGCAGATTTTAATAAATTGTTAGAGGCTAATCCAAATAATAAAGAAGCATTGTCAATGCGCGGAGTGATCTTGTCTCATAATGATCTCAGAAGATTCGAGGAAGCAATTAAAGATTTTAATAAGTTTTTAGAACTTGTGCCAAATGATATAACTGCCCCCTAAGATGTCGTGGTGAAGCCTATTTGTCTATGAAAAGGTATAAAAATGCACTTGAGGATTTTAATCTTGTGTTGGAGATCAAACCGGATGATTTATTAGGCATAATGAAACGCGGTGAAATTTATTACCAGATGGAAGACTATGAGAATGCACTTGTAGACATTAATAAATTGTTAGAAATGGTTCCGAATGATGTATTATCATTCCGAAAACGTGCAAAAATTTATGATATATTAGGTTATTCTGAAAATGCAGCAGCAGATGATGAATTGTCGTCAAAGTTGTGGAACACTGCTTCTGCTTTAAGAAACATTGGAGAAATTCATTATTCATTGGGAAGTTTTTTGAAATCATACGAGTACATGGACAGAGCTTCAATACTTGAAAATATGGTAAGCCTTATTCAATGTAATTCTATGCACTAATGTATTACATAAGATTTTTGTAGTAAGGCCAGACCAATTTAATTCGGTGGTTTACATTACCCCCCCCCCCCCCCCTCTCTATCTTAGTAAAAAAAAATTTTGGGATATATATATATGATTTTGGCCGGAGAGCATAATGTCGG